GAATTTTGCTGTCAAGTTTGTAGTCAGGGACACTCGGATACTATGGCAGCAGAATGAGAGATGACAGTTTGCTCAGGGGGCTGTTTGTGGCTAACTGCCTATAAATCCCTTAATGATACTGTGATGGCCAACATTGGAGAGTGGATCTACGTGTCCGGTGCAAATGGAAATCTGGGAGAAATTTTCCAACAGCTCAATCACACAAAAACGTTGTGCCATCCACCTGTGTAGCAGTTCTGCACATTCCTGAAATACTATAGCACCTTTCAGACTTTGCGATTGCATCTTGAATTTAATTACGTATTCAAACAACACCACATTGTCACTTTAAAATATACTGTGGCAGTACCATGTTGTAAAAATGTATTATATATTAAATGTAAATATTAAATGGTATAGATGATATAGTATTATTAGTACCATTGCTATTTATTAGCTGTACTTGTGTGTGTGTGTTTATTATACATAATAGCCAAATAAATGTTTTACAATTTCCATGTCTTCGATTACTATATTCATATGACATGGTATTAACAATGTTTTCCCCCCCCCAATTTTTTTTCTTTTGATTTCCAGACCTAGAAATTAATTGTAATTTTTAAAGGCAAATAGAAAATAAATATAATTTTGTTTTGTTTCACTCAATTTAAAAAAAAAATTGGATAGTAAAATGTTTTTTAACATATAGTAAAATATATAATATTTTAATATATTTAAATTATATAGTAAACTATATAGTATATTTTCATTTATAAATATACTACAGATGTTATTTCAAATATTATTTAATATAATAATATAATATAAAATATTCAATCATTTAAAATGTTTTCAATAATTTTAGATAACCTTATCCAATAATTACATGCATCATGAAAGTGTTTTGGTTACACAAAAACATGGTATTATTCTGTTATTATGATAGCATATCTAAGCATTGGCATCAGGATCTGGTTGTTACAGCTTTGTGATTTGATTGTTGTTATTACATACTTTGCTCTCTTAAGCTCTCCCGGCAACAGCGTCTGTTTCGAGAGATCTCCCTTGTCTTTGCTCTCTAAAGCCAGATTGTGTTTTGGCTGCTTCCACAACACTGCAGTCTGTTCCTGGAGACAGCCGTTAACAGCGAGATAAATCAATACCATGAATGGTGTGACTAAAAACAAGGCAGTGCGGAGAGCTGAGAAAGAAAACACTGTGCCTTTGACCAAGGAAGTGGTTAAACTTGTTATTCAGGATGATTGCATTATAAATACACTTTTATCTGACAAGCTGTCTTCCTGTTGTTCTTACACTGACCCAATAAATCCCTGTTTCGCTGGCTGTGTTTGTTAGTGTTTTTGCCTGTTACCACTCCCATCTTGCAAGCCTTTTTGACCCTGCAGTTTGATCTAGGAAAGCAATAAACCTGATTAATGTAGAGAATCAGTTTCTTTGTTAAGAAGCAGATTTTGGATTTGCTTGTCAGTCTGAATGGTCATAACAGATTTCAGGTAGCTTTTCATCATTTAAATTCACTCATTTCAACATGAGGTATTTATGTAGTGCATATTCAGACACATATGTTTAGTTAGGTTGTACGGAATCTGTTTATTATAGAGAGACTTTAATTTACAGCTTATTATTCTGCATTTGTGAGGCTTTGTGAACCTGATGTAAGTAACTCTTACTCACTCCCGGCTTGATTAAAGTGACAGCTTGTCGTAGAAGGGAGAGACTGATTGAACAGCCTGATCTTAAGAATTGATTGAAGCTTTGATTACCTGAGGGGAGAAAGTGAAAAGATTCATCCCTTCATGACGCATTGCTCATTTTAGACAATGAGCTCGTTTACATGCACGTTCTTAAGCCGATTATGCTTAATAAGCTGAAAACACGCACTTGGTCATGTAAACGCGGTAACCCGTTTTCTTTTAGCAGAGTAAGGTCATAAACGGGGTAAGCATAAACCGGTCAGATATGCAAATTATTATATTTTGACGTCACTACAGGGAAATAACCTGATTTATTAATGAAGTCATGTAAACGCAGCTTACTTGCGTTGTCAAGTTACTGATGTGCATGTAAACGGGGAAAACCAGCAGGCTAGTTCCTAGAGAACCAATTTATCCCTCGGGCCATTTTCCTGGTTGCATTCGCACCAGCAGCAGGAACTCTGAAGCGGCCGACAGCAATGTCTTTTTATAACGGAGATGGAGATGTAAGCGCACAATTTGCGCGAGTGCAAGAGCAAAATGTTGGACTAAGAGACTATTTTTTAATGACAACTTGCAGTGTTACATATCGTCGAAGCTGAGAAAAGTTTTCCATGTTCGTGGAGTAAATATGCCGGTGTTTCGCGTGCGTTTGGCCAATCAGCGTACACTTATGTCACTGATAGTTCCTATAGAACGGTTTTAGACCCTGCTCTAAAGTAGGAGCTATCAAGTTACTGATGTGCATGTAAACGGGGAAAACCAGCAGGCTAGTTCCTAGAGAACCAATTTATCCCTCGGGCCATTTTCCTGGTTGCATTCGCACCAGCAGCAGGAACTCTGAAGCGGCCGACAGCAATGTCTTTTTATAACGGAGATGGAGATGTAAGCGCACAATTTGCGCGAGTGCAAGAGCAAAATGTTGGACTAAGAGACTATTTTTTAATGACAACTTGCAGTGTTACATATCGTCGAAGCTGAGAAAAGTTTTCCATGTTCGTGGAGTAAATATGCCGGTGTTTCGCGTGCGTTTGGCCAATCAGCGTACACTTATGTCACTGATAGTTCCTATAGAACGGTTTTAGACCCTGCTCTAAAGTAGGAGCTAATTTAGTTCCTCCAAACGGAGTTCCTAGAACTAAAACCGTTCCTATTTACTGCAGTGCGAAAAAGTGGGTAGTTCCACAATTAGTTCAGGTATTATGAAAAAGTTCCCGCGGTGCGAAAGGCCCTACTGACTAGATTAGTACTGCTAGCACCAGCTTTCCTTCTCTTTTATCTTTGAAAAACCAGCAGTTTTAGAAGTACAAATGAGACATACTGTTTTTTCCTTTTCCGAATCCCCAGTAGGCCTTATTAAGTGTTATCAGGTACAGGACCCCAATGAATACAGTGCTGGCTGGGCATATCTCCCCACGCTGATATTGTCTGCCATTCAGACCCCATTTATAGTGATATTATGCCACGGTTTATGATAACCTTATACAACCTTATAGCCTTTCAGTTTACCTTATACAATCTTTATGACTCTGTGATGTTTAATTTTAATTATTTTGCTGCACCATGTTCCAGTTTTGAGTAGCAGTGAAAAGTAGTAAAACGAACCACCTTGTGTGATGTATCTCTCAACCCGCGGTGCGAAAGGCCCTACTGACTAGATTAGTACTGCTAGCACCAGCTTTCCTTCTCTTTTATCTTTGAAAAACCAGCAGTTTTAGAAGTACAAATAAGACATACTGTTTTTTCCTTTTCCGAATCCCCAGTAGGCCTTATTAAGTGTTATCAGGTACAGGACCCCAATGAATACAGTGCTGGCTGGGCATATCTCCCCACGCTGATATTGTCTGCCATTCAGACCCCATTTATAGTGATATTATGCCACGGTTTATGATAACCTTATACAACCTTATAGCCTTTCAGTTTACCTTATACAATCTTTATGACTCTGTGATGTTTAATTTTAATTATTTTGCTGCACCATGTTCCAGTTTTGAGTAGCAGTGAAAAGTAGTAAAACGAACCACCTTGTGTGATGTATCTCTCAAAGTTGCTGCATTTTAACTAGATATAGACCGGGTAAATCTGTTTAACCATTTTTTTTTAACCTATATTCACAGTTTTTTATTCAGTTGATTTAACGGTATTCACATGTACACAATTTTCTTTTTATTATTAGTAAAAATGTTAAATATTAATTCAAATAATAGCCTTTATATAGTTTTAAATATGTTTAAAAAATAAAACTATGCGAACATTCAGATACCAAAACATCTTTGCATAAATGTGCCATAAATAACAACAATTATTATAATAAAAGTATAACTTATTGAACAATTTTCTCTTATTACTTTTAATTAAATGCAATATATTATTAAATGCAATTAATAATGTATTATTATTTTTATACAAATTATGCTAAATGATTAATATTATTTTAAGAATTTTGTTAATCAAATCAAAATGCATATTGTTTTTGTTGTAGTCTATTGATCATATAGTTGTGACAAAGCTGAAATAAAACAATAATTAAAAATTATTTTTAGATATAAATATTAAAATAAGCTGTTTCATTAATGGTCATAAGAAGACATTATTCGATTAATCTCTAATCAGTGTTATTTTAGAATCATTGATATACTGTTATTGTTTTTGGTTCATATTTTGAATCAATTTCTATTTTTAGATTTTCTATTCTCATTTTAATTTTAGTTAAAGTTTAGTAATTTTTTTGTCATTTTTAGTAGTCATTCTTTTCTTTTTTAATATATCTAAAAATTATTTTTAGATATAAATATTAAAATAAGCTGTTTCATTAATGGTCATAAGAAGACATTATTCGATTAATCTCTAATCAGTGTTATTTTAGAATCATTGATATACTGTTATTGTTTTTGGTTCATATTTTGAATCAATTTCTATTTTAGATTTTCTATTCTCATTTTAATTTTAGTTAAAGTTTAGTAATTTTTTTGTCATTTTTAGTAGTCATTCTTTTCTTTTTTAATATATCTATATAGTTATTTTATTTTTTTTAATTTTTTTTCCAGTTTTAGTTTGACTTATTTTTAGTACATCAAGTTGAACTAAATTAAAATAAGAATAAAAAGTTATATACTTTTTTATAAGTTAACTTTTTTTTTTCTCTCCAAGTACAAGGTTTTTTTTTTTTTTTAGTTTCGGTTTTAGTTAACTTTCGGTTTTAGTTAACTATAATAATCCTGTCTCTAATTTGAACTAATTGTAATATGTGATATCCAGTTTAATTCATTTGTTTTAGTTAAGCTCATTATGAATGTGTTTCCACAGACATTGTTTGGGAGCCCTGAGTCTCAGTCTGTCCAGCTGTGGGTTTCCTACAACCGGCAGCCAATGAGAGCAGCTCAGTTTAACACCCGCCACCCCATCACGGTGAGTGCCGTCAGCTTCGATTAGCTTCAGGAATATATTTTTGTGGTCATGACTTTTACGGCTTCATGTTGTTTACCTGTCTCATGCGATTCCCTGCTCTCCTCTCTCTGCAGGAGTACTACATAGCAGATGCTTCGGAGGACCAGGTGTTCGTATGCGTGAACCACAATAATAACGTTACACACCTGTACATCTCCGACACACAGGGCCTGGCCTTCTCACTGTCCCTAGAGAACGTGTTGTACTTTAGCCCTGATGGCTCCGGAAGCAACACGCTTATCAGGTACAGTTCAATATCACAGTGTGTGTGTGTGTGTGTGCGAGAGAGAAACACCTTCCTTCTGCAGAACAGTACATGAACACAGATGGTGTGACCATAAATGGGATTTACCAAAGTAGGACATTTGTTTGTTGGTCCTGGAACAACATTCCTATTAAATAACCGTGTCCCTAACCTCATTAATTAATGTTAAATACTTTGCATTGCCTTTCTATTGTATTTTTATTGGTAGTTTTCTGTCTTAAAATGTACAAATAATTTTTACAAATAATTCATAATTACTATTTTCATGCAACATATTTTTTAAAAGACTATCATAAGCTTAAAAGAAAATTAAGAGTTGTATTTTTGTTATTCATCATAAAACTACAGAATCGTTTAAAATTTTGCGGTTGGTAATTTTTAAATTTTTTTGGAAGAAGTCTCTCCTACTCACCAAGGCTGCATTTATTTTATCAAAAATATTATATATGATTACAAATTCAATTTTCAATTTTCAATTTTCAATTCAATTTTCAATTTGAATATATTTTAAAATGTAATTTATTCCTGTGATGGTAAAGCTGAATTTTCAGCATCATTACTCCAGTCTTCAGTGTCACATGATCCTTCAGAAATCATTCTAATATGCTGATTTAGTGCTCAAGAAAAATTTCTTATTATTATCAGTGTTGAAAACAGTTGTGCAGCTTAATGTTTTTGTGGAAACCATAATACAGTTTTTAGAATTCTTCGATGAATAGAAAGTAAAAAAAACTGCATTTATTTGAATGCTGATTCTATGTAACAAATATGTTTTTTACTGTCACTTTTAATCAATTTAATGCATCCATTAATGCTGATGAAAAGTATTAATTCCTTGAAATAAAAAAAACTGGCTGACCCCAAAAATTTGAACATTAGTATAAATCTGAAAATGCATAAATAAATAGATAAATACATAATTTCACTGCAGTTTTCAATAAAAACTTTTAACATAATTGCTAAAATTGAAGGCTTCTTTTTTCCCATTTTAAATGAATCCCTAAAATCCAAAGGAAATCATAAGTTGTTACAAATTATTGTTAAAGCTCCAACCCCAAAATGTAGTTATAAATGTTGTCTGAGAGCCAACAACCATACTTAGCCAGAAACATGTCCCACTTCAATAATTCACATTAAGCCCCGGTCTTACACAGCTCTTGGTCTCGTCACCTTTACTTGAACTCCTCTTAGTTTAGCCCCTCATCAGTGTTCTAAATCCGTTTTTGCTCTGCAAGCCTCAACCCATAAGCAGGTTAGTGAGGTTTCGTCTCTATAATGAAAGAACTATGTCTTCGCCCACCGGTCCCTCCGCTCACACTGTCAGTAGAAAAGCAATCTATCATTCCTGCACAGCTTCCCAAGGACATGCTGTTGTTTTACTCTGGATCTCACCCACCACCAAACCACTGAGCTCAGCACGGCCGCCTGAGAGCAGAGACGCAATTACTGCAGTGCGGAATGCAGATGAGATGCGCTTGGCTCGCGTGCCATTGGCATTTTCATAGAGCCCCTCTCTTGGCAGATATGTATGGCATATGGAAACAGATTTGTGTGTTTGCATATTTGAAAGGTACTTCGCCAACGAGCCGTTTGCAGATCTCCACCGGGTCGAGGGGCTGAGGGGTGTGTTTGTGGCCACTCTGATCAATGGATCAGTCACTGAGGACAACATGCGATCAGTCATCACATTTGATAAAGGAGGAACCTGGGAGCTTCTGCTGCCACCTGCGGCTGACAGCCTGGGAGGAACCATAGACTGCCAGGTATTAGGGATGTTGGTCATTTAGGCTATTTTTCTATATTTCTGGGGTAAAGTTTTTTTTGTTTTTTGGTGGCTGTCCCTTTTTTATTTTTTATTTTTAGATGTCCTGTTAGTTTAATAATAATCCAGCATATAAAAGCATGATCCTTGTGACCCCTATGTTTTGGTCCATTTAGTTTAGCTTTTATTCAGCAGTTTTTTTTAGCACACAAACACATCTAATGTGGACACTCTTTCTATGCAGAGTTGAGCAAATGTTCTTCCCCTGAAACTCAATATTTGCTTTTCGGCATACATTTCTTATCCCCATGGTTCGTACGGTCATGAAAAACCTGGAAAAGTAATGGAAAAATAAATAAAACCAGAAAGTTTTGAAAAAGTCATTGAAATCTATTTCACAAAACTCTGTATAATAGAATTGTGTTTAATCAGATCCTGAATTTCGGTGCGGGATTGCGCATAGTTTTACTCATTCCCGCAGCTTTTGACTTTAAAATGATGGATATTCACACATTTATTCAATAGCCTATAGCATGTAGGTTTGATGAGTAAATAATCAAACCTACAGACTGAGTCCAGTCCACACAGACTGATCAAATCAGTCATTTGAAAACAGCGTGAGTGATTCAGCTGTACGCGTCTTCTCTCTTTGACTTTTTTCTTCAAACGGCTTCACATCGGCGCATCTTGTCTGCGCTACAAGAGCCGCTGCACGCTACGATACAAGACTTTCACTCGTATTTCGGGACAGTTGACAGAATTGTCACTTGACTAAAATCAAATCTATAGGCATATATAAAATGCTTAAAAAAAACAATGTTAGTTGGTTCAATTTTAGTTTATTAAAATCAATTTTAATAATTATAAAAAATGTATATACATATTGTATAGAAAAAGGTGCGCTAGTTCAAAACAGTTGCGTTCGATTCTTTGCTGGCTGTGCTGATTTAATTTTAAATGCTACAAATTATTTAAACATCATAATATAATGTACAGTATGAAGAATGGATATTCATTTTGAGATTTGCTAAAGACTACAATTAAAAGTGTTTATAAATTCTTACTGTTTTTAATGTTTTTAAAGTGAGCATTAGATAATGGCAACGGTGATCTCCATCTTAAAATAGAGGAAATAAGCATAAACAATTAAATACCCAAGATTGAGTCATAGTGATATGTAAAAAAAAAAAAAAAAACCTGTATCAGTAGATAACTGGTATGATACCGATATATTGTGCTCATCCCTACCATGAGTGTAGAATCTCCACATTTTGATTAATTTGTGTATTTGTGATGTCAAGCATGTGTTCATGAAGCTGTGGTTTTGTGTTTGTGAAAAAGGAGTTAGAGTGCTGAGTTCAGCGATCGTGGGAGGAAGTAGGGTTTTTTTTTCATGCTTCCATTGAATTGTTTGTGTATATATATATATATATATATATGTATGTATGTGTGTGTGTGTATATATGTAATTTTTTAATTTTTTTTCCTCAGTTGTTTTTATGTATTGGCTTTTTTCATGTGAAGGAAAAGATCAGATCTGCTCTTTTTTGAAGAACATAATGCATGATCATCAGTTCTTTGCAATTTGCTTGGTTTTTGTTTATTTATTTATAATTTTGGGGGGAAATTATATGTTAAATCAGGAGTTGAACCGGTTTCCCTTTACATACTAAATGCGAACTTTACCACTAGACTATCCCATCTTATATAAAGGATTTTTTTGGTCATGTATTATTTTACTTAGGCCAAATGCCATTGGTTACAATGCTGCTAGCATTATAATCTTATAAACGTATATTCCCTGACTTTTTGAAAAGTGTAGTAGCATTTGTTGTTCCATGTAATGGATATGCATGTTCTTTAGGCTCTGGCTGGTCCTCATTTCTACACCTGGGGAGATCATGGAGGGATCCTGATGGCTATCGCACAGGGTGGCTCCACCAGAACACTCAAGTCAGTGACCGTTTAAAGATCTAATGTTGCTCTGCTTTTAGTAGAAGCTCTTTGAGTATTATCTGGCTTTGGGACGTTACTGATAGCTGTGTCTTGTCTTTTGCTGGCTCAGGTTCAGTACTAACGAGGGAGAAACCTGGAAAGAGTTCCAGTTCTCAGAGCAGGAGGTATATGTGTACCAACTTCTGACTGAACCGGGTGAAAAGAGCACCATCTTCACCATCTTTGGCTCTTACGCGGATCAGAAACACAGCTGGCTCATTGTGCAGGTCAACGCTAGTGATGTGCTTGGTAAGAGAACAATGTGCTTTTAATTGGTGCACCACACCGAGCACCCTAGTAACCACCTTGTAACCACCACCCCTTAGCAACCATCTAGCAAAATCCCTAGGAACCAGCCTGAAATGCTTAGCAACTGTTTAGCAATGTCCTACCTGTACCTGAACTTTTCTAGTTCTGCATCTGACGTTATGTGTGCTTAGGCGTGCCGTGCTCGGATGGTGACTATAAACACTGGTCTCCTTCTGACGAAATGGGAAATGGCTGTCTGCTCGGCAGAGAGATGGTGTACAAGCGGCGCTCTCCTCACGCCACCTGCTTCAACGGCGAGGACTTCGACAGGCCTGTCACTCTATCTAATTGCTCCTGCACTCGACAGGACTATGAGTGGTATGAGCCAAAACCCACTCTATGTTTTTCTTATGTTGCCATTTTCTTCACTTGAATACCAATCATTTTCCACAGCTTTATTGTGTCATCTTTATCTGTTTGCAGTGACTATGGGTTTAAACTGAGTGAGGATCTGTCTCTCGAGGTGTGCATGCCTGATCCTGAGTTTTCTGGAAACCTTTATGCCCCACCAGTACCCTGTCCGGTGGGCACCACTTACCGCCGCAGCAATGGGTGAGAATGCGGTTATTCATCCTTAAAAAAACATTATTGATGTATACACTACCGTTCACAAGTTTAGAGTCAGTATGTATTGTTTTTGTTTGTTTTTGTTTTTTATTAAAAAAAAAATTTTCAGGAAGGATGCATTGAATTGATCAAAAGTGACAGTAAAAACATTTATAATGCTACAAAAGATTTCTATATCATATTTCAGATCAGCTGTTCCTTTGAACTCTATTCATCAAATGATCCTGAAATTTTTTTTTATCACAGTTCTCAACTGTTTTCAACATTGATAATAATAAGAAATGTTTCTCGAGCATCAAATTAGCATATTAGAATGATTTCTGAAGGATCGTGTGACACTGAAGACTGGAACAATGGCTGATGAAAATTCAGCTTTGCCGTCGGGAAAAAAATACATTTTAAAATATATTGAAATAGAAAACATTTATTTTAAATTGTAATAAATAAATAAAAAATCACAATATTACTGTTCACTGTGTTTTGATCAAATAAGTGCAATTTTCTTTCAAGAACATTAAAAGTCTTATCAGCCCCAAACTTTTAAACAGTAGTTTCGTACCGATTCGAAAAAATATTAATGTGCATTGTTGGGCTGAACGATTAATTGCATTTGCGATAATATCGCGATATGAAATACCGCGATTTTTCAATTGCAGAGGCTGCGATTACACTCGGTCACGTGACACGCGAGAGTAAAGAGGTGTGTTCAACTTGAAGATCGATCGGTGTATGACATCAAAGTACGGCGAGAGAAAGCATAAGGAGACGTCCGCGCTCTCTTATAGCTCTCGCTGCTTCAAGTCGAGCACAGGCCATCAGCAGAAAAAGAAAATAAATAAAACTAAATAAGTAAACAGCCAAAGGACGTAACTTAGAATGGGAGATGGATCGGTTTGTGAAAGGGAAGAGAAAAGCCATAGATGAAGTCGCACAGACCCAGGCAGGTGCTGGTCATTTAAAAGCTAAATGCATAAAATATGATGAGGCATATCTTGCTCTCGGCTTCACTCACTGTGTCTATACCGGACGCTACAGTTGTCGCATCGCGCCACAACAGCTCTACACTGGATGCGACAAAGCGACCGTTGCAAATCATTTTAACTTTGTGTCAGTACGTCATAAATAGAACAAGGCATCAGTTTAATGTTGCGTCGCAACCACTGTAGACAGCGTCACTGATTATAATGGGTTCTACTGTATTTTGCCGCTTGCATCCGGTGTAGACACGGTGTTTAATGTCGTTGGTGAAGAAAGCCTGTGTGTGTCCTATGCCTTCATAATGTTTAGTGAAATTATTTGGTAGTCTGAGGTGATTTCTTTTTATTGGTTTAAAGGGGGGCGCGACCAAAAAAGTTTGAGGACCACTGGTCTACAGTTAACAGACAGTGTTTAAAAAGTGCAGTGCACATGTTTACATATGTTTATTACAGTGACTTTGAATTGCCCAAAGTAGTGTGGTAAAGCAACAGATTTGTTTTTATATTTCTGCAATCTGCTTTAGTTTGTGTGATTTGTTACTGACTTTCATATTAATGTTTTCACCAGGCTTATTTAAACATAATTATTACATGCTTACAAGGTTGGAAGTTCAACAAATCAGTCAATATACTGTGATTGTAGTTGTTAAATAAAAATGACATTCATATCAATTCATGCATCATTTAATTTCATCGTAACATATAGGCCTGGCCTACAGAAAAGAACATTTATGTTTAATGTATATAATATTGTGTTGGTCATACTATACAAGGATTTATAGCTTGTCTTTGTTGAATAATACAGAACATAAAGAGCTTTAAAAAAATAATTGCATATTGAATCGCAATCGCAATATTGGTAAAAAGAATCGCAATTCAATTATTTTCCAAAATCGTTCAGCCCTAGTGCATTGTTCAGAGGCAAAATGAAAAGAAAATTCCACGTAAACTTTTCTAAAGATAGTCAGTTCCCCTCAGAGATACAGTTGTATAAACTCCTACTCCAATTGTATCGCGATTTGTTTGGCATCTCAATCGATTTAAATCGTCACATATTTTAATAAATTTTCGACCGGCTTGCGGTTAATCGTTACATCCCTAATAATTATCGTATAATACGATAAATACCCCCCCCCCCTTCTATGTAAAGCACTTTGAGTGCCCAGAAAAGCACTATATAAATTATTATTATTATTATTATTATTACTGAACCAGACAGAATTTATTTAGGCTTTTTTTGGTCACTATCAACAGATTCTGTCACTATCAACATTCTTTAATGTCAAAATAAGACTTTTTTACTAGTTGGTCAATTTCTTTTATGAAAATGATTGAAGCTAAATGATTTACTTAGAAAAATATTCGTCGTTTTGTTATGTAAAATAGGGTGCTGCATACCTATGAAATCAGTTAATTATTTTAGATTACTTTGTAGAGGTCACTTTGAAAAGTCTTGTTCCCTCTATAAAGCCAAATCATATCTGTTGTGATTCAGTGCTGTAAATCAGCAAAACATGTCCAATACTTATTAAAGGCTCTGTGTCCTCCTGGATACAGTTTGTTAACCGCCACCATCAGCTGCCGCCCGGGAGCATTATTAGATCTGCCAGTGCTGTGTCACCATGCATCTCTCCTCTCATTATCTGCAGTCGAGAGGAGAGGATTTATTTAGAACATGGACTTGAACCGAATTTAGCTGGATGAGTTTAAATCTCTTGCACAGTCAGTTGAAAGAAATGAGGTTAATCACAATTATAGTTATGATTCCTGGGAAAATTGGGAAGTAACATTAAAGGGGTCCTATTATGCTTTTTTACAAAGTCTTGATTTTGTTTTGGGGATGTACTAGAACAGGCTCTCATACTAGGTTGTTCGAAAAACACATTATTTTTCACATATTTTACATTATTACAACACCTCTCTCCCCAGTCTGGCATGAGCGGCTCCAATAGTTCCTGTATCAAATGAAGGCCCGCCTTCTGAAACACTAAATGTGCTGTGATTGGTTAGCTGGGCCAGTGTGTGTTGTGATTGGCAGCACTTGGCGCCTGTTCGGGAAAAGACATGCCCCTTACCATAGCCGCCTGCAAGCTTCAGTGTAAATATTGCATCAATATCAAATCAATTTGAGCGTGATTTAAACCCGGATGATTATAACCACTCTAAGTTAATCTGCCTTGGGAAAACTAGCGCGTCTCCGACATAGTGATAACACTCGTTGCCTTTTCTAGTGCAGCTCAACCAGGTCTCGTCCCATTCGTCAATATTTGTGATATCACAAATCCCGGAAAATATGCGTTGTAGTCCAAACGAGTCGTTCTTTGTAGTTTTTGAAAAGTGATTTCTGTTAAATAAAATATCTTCTTTTGAAGTGGACTTTGAGCTTTGTAACTTTGCAGATCTTTTTTATGCTCAAACAACAACATTACAGACTAACTAAAGTTGAAAAAGTGAAAAAGCATAATAGGACCCCTTCAATTACTATTATTTAGGGATGCTTAGATTATTATGATCATATCTATTTTTTCTTTTTACTTTAACATTATTATAACATTATTGCTTTCTTAGCAGCTAATGTTGGTTAACTGAGGACTTTTCACAGTGGAACTTAATCTAGATTTAACTTGACGGTAAATTATGGCAGTGATTAACCCATTTAAGACCACTCTAGAATTGTTCTTGCCCGTTTGAGAAAACTGATATAGATATTTAGTGATTATTTTGCTCACAATAATGCATCAATACTGCAGATATAATTATTATTTTTTTATTTATGTGGCCATTCATTCAAGTTTCCAACAGTTCATTTAATGGAAAAAGCATGTAAAACCAGCATTCAGAAGCATACAAAATATTGGTTTTAGTTTTTAGTACCTGCATAAATCAGCTACGTATTGGTTATTGGCCATTATATTTAAAATAATTGTCAGCTTACTAGTATCGGCCAGCAGATCTGCACATTTCTACTGTCAGTAAATGATGAATGGAATCTGCAATTTCAGATAAACTTGCGCCAACCTTGGTACTTCTCAAAATGTTACGAAAACATCAGGACGAAAGCAAGAAAATTCATAGACGCGTAATTACAGCATCACCTAGTGTCAACTTTTAGAATAAAGTTCTTCAAGAAGAGAAATTTGCTGTGAAGTTTAATAAGTGATTTCCACTGATGTTAAGGTGTGTCATCTGACACTTTAGGTACAGGAAGGTTTCTGGAGACAGCTGCAGTGGGGGAGACGTTGAAGCTCGGCTGAATGGAGAAATGCTGCCCTGTCCTGTGGGAGGTACAGTAAGATCCTCCTCCTCAGCTTACACAATCATCTTCTCTGAGCTCTTTTTGTGTAACACCACACAATCCTATGGGAAGCAACATGAAGTTGTGGAGTCAAAGTTCATAACACAGCCTCAAATTACAAAAAAAAACTTTCCAAAACAAAGCTTTGAGGTAGGAAAATTTTTGTGGAGATATCAGAATTGTAATATAATAATGTTAGCGATTAAAAAAAAAAAAATTATTTTACATTACATGCAAGTTTGTCTTTTTAAATACACTACTGTTCAAACGTGTCAGTTAGAAAATTAATCTAAAGTGATAGTAAGGACATTTACATGACCAAAGGACAATACATTACCAAAAAAAGTCCCTTATATAAGATGGGATAGTTTAGTGGTACAGTTCTTATTTAGTGTGAAATGCGATAGAAGTTAAAATCCTGACGTGAACCAAAAAATAACTTGAGCAAATTGCAACAGAGCTGATTATAATGCATTATGTTCTATGATAAAGGGCAGTTTTGACATTTTGTTTCACATGTAAAAAGTTATAAGAATAAGGAGCAAAATAAAGATGGAGAAAGTCAAGTATATTTATATTGCACATTTAAAAGCAACAGAAGTTGATGAAAAATATAATAGTGCTGCAAATTGAAAATATAAATAAATTAAATAACAAATACAATTTGTATACTTTTAAAAGAAATTTATACTTTTATTTCAGCAGGGACACAGAAGATTTCTATTTCAAATAAATGCTTAAAGTTCTTAAACGTTCTATTCATCAAAGAATCCTGAATGAATCACCATTTTCACAACTATATCAAGCAGCACAACTCTTCATATTAGAATGATTTCTGAAGATTCGTGTGACGCTGAAGACTGGAGTAATGATGCTGAAAATTCAACTTTGCCATCATAGCAAAAAATTACATTTTAAAATATATTCGGTAACACTTTATTTTAGGGTCTCTTAACTAGTTGCTTATTAGCATGCATATTACTAGAATATTAGCCATTTATTAGTACTAATTAAGCACATATTAATGCCTTATTCTACATGACCTTATTCTACATCCCTAATCCTACACAATACCTAAACTTAACAACTACCTTACTAACTATTAATAAGCAGCAAATTAGGAATTTATTAAGGGAAAAGTCATATTTAATAGCGAATAAGTGTTCCCTATTCTAAAGTGTTACCATATGTTCAAATAGAAACTTTTAGGAAACTTCCATAAAAATGTAAGTTGTAGTAATTTTACTGCATTTTTTTAATCAAATTAGTACAGCCTTAGTGAGCAGAAGAGACATCTTTCAAAAACATTAAAAAGTCTTACCAACCCCAAACTTTTGAAAGTAGTGTACATCTAATATGCTGAGGAGTTCTATTTCTATCATTCATATCATTTTTGTTTGCTTACTGATCATTGCTTTGCTTCGTTTAGTATGTTTGTTATGGTAGATGCTGAGATGTTAAGGTATCTTTTAGTTTAATTTTTTATTTTTCTATGTGCAAAAGTCATTACTCAGAAAAATAGAGAAAAATACTCAGAACACTGAAGCAGGATGAGTGTCGTTCATCTAACTGTAATATTAAAACTTCTGACCTGAACCTTTATTAAGAACCACAGGCATTGACATTTTAAACTAGGCATAAATCTATCTTTAACTTGTTTTTTTTCCATTGTAAAGTTAAAACATCTTGTTTTTTTACAGGTGGACTTCTTAGAAGTACATTTTATGACAGATGCAAGATATTGTTTAGATTAGACCTTTTCACTTTTCTTCTTGACTCTTTGACTTATGGGATCTCATTTGTACTAATAATTTCATAATTCTGTTTAGTTGTTAGAAGCTAAAAACACAATCAGTCCTGTTTTGAACCCAATTAAAGACACATTTGTTATTTTTAAAGGATATGAGTATGCATTTATGGACACAACATGACATAGACAAATCACTGTAATGTCTACCATTGTGTCTGAATGTGTGTCCATAGTATAAACATGAATGTGTAAAATACAGTAATGCCTCAACATGACCATGCTGAGATGACATGATGGACCGATTCACTGACACCTGATGTAGATTTAACTTATACTGATTACAATGATGTGAACAGTCAGTCCTAAAGATGGAATTTGAAAATCAAATGAGGATTGTTGGAGTGTGATCAAAGCCCGTCTCCCCAACGAGCTGTTCTTAAGAGCCGTCGCTGTCTAGACTGCTTCTTCTCTCCGGCATTGTGGCACTCAGACACTTGACCGTGCTTCAGTGGCTATGTTGATAGCCTTGCCTCTCTGTCTAGAGGACGCTGGGAGTAAATAAGCAGCTCTTTCAGAAGCTGAGATCTGATCCAGCAGGAGAAGGAAGTGATGTGACTCAGCGGTGCCATCAGTTTTCTTTTACGATTTGCACTGAAACAGAAAATAGAAAGGCTTCCTAGAAGAGTGCAAGCTGTTAGCAAGGAACAACTCCCTTTTAGTGCCAGTGGCTTTGAAATTAAATGCTCACATGGGAGTGTTCAGGTATAATATGCAGTGTATTTCTCTGGACTGAGTCTTTATTTCACCTCTTAACTTAAGACCTCTCACCTTTTTTTTTTTAGAGAGTAATGAGTTTATCCTGTATGCGGTGAGGAGCTCCATCCACCGCTATGACCTGGCCTCAGGTACAGACCAGCCGCTTCCACTCTCGGGTCTCCATGAGGCCGTGGCTCTGGATTTTGATTATGAGAAGAACTGCCTATACTGGGCTGATATTTCACTGGACACCATAGAGGTGAATAAACGTTCTTTCGCTCACAAAAAACTGGGGAGAAGTACCATATATAGAGTGACAAGAAAAAGTATGTGAAACCATTGAAATCGTTTTTTTGCATTAATTGGACATAAAATGTCATCTGATCTTCATCAAAGTCACAAGTATGGACAAACACAATGTGCTTAAAAGGATAGTTCACCCAAAAATGAAAATTTGATGTTTATCTGCTTACATCCAAGATGTTGGTGACTTTGTTTCTTCAGTAGAACACAAACGAAGATTTTTAACTCAAACCTTTGCAGTCTGTCAGTCTTATAATGGAAGTGAATGGAAATCACGGCTTTGAGAGTAGAAAGAAACATACACAAACAAAACCAAATTAAACCCTGCGGCTCGTGATGATACATTGATTTGTAAAGACACGAAACGATCGGTCTATGCAAGAAACTGAACAGTATTTATATCGTTTTTTACCTCTGATTTTCACTGCAATGTCTGAACTGTCCTGAGTATTTACCTACATCACCGCCACCTATCTCTCAAATGGACCATCGACACTCTATATACAATCTCAATTAGGAGTGTCAATGGTCCATTTGAGAAATAGGTGGCGGTTTAATTTGGTTTTGTTTGTGTATGTTTTTTTTTTTACTCTCAAAGCCGTGATTTCCATTCACTTCCATTATAAGACTGACAGACTGCAAAGGTTTGAGTTAAAAATCTTCGTTTGTGTTCTACTGAAGAAACAAAGTCACCTACATCTTGGATGCCCTGGGGGTAAGCAGATAAACATCAAATTTTCATTTTTGGGTGAACTATCCCTTTAAGCTAACAACACACAATCAATTATACTATCTCACATCTTTAATAAACACATCTCCTTAAACATTCACAGTACTGCAGAAAAAGTAAATTAATTTGATCTTGTTGTCGTTATCTGGATTATTCCCAACTTTGTGATGAGTTTCATGGGTTGTTCCTGAGTCCTTTGTTTGTCCTGAGCAGTTAAACTTCCCAGTGTTCTTCAAAAAATCCAAGTCCTACACATGCTTTGGTTTTCTAGAATTTTCTGCATATTTGAACCCTTTTTGTTCTTTATTGTATTGGGTAAATTTGTGTATATATAGTTGATGTTCATTCACATTCAATGTAATGTTTAATGCCTAAAGCTTCAGCAATTAATGAATTTAAAAATGTTAATTTTCTTTCTTTTTTTAATCTTTAGTGTTTAGTTTTGTTTAATATTTGTTGTTCTATAAATACTATAGAATTTTAGTATTGGATATTTTAGTCACTGTTCATAACAAAAATAATCAGCAGCTTTTTGGTATCAAAATTTAAATATCTGTGCAACCCTACATAAAAACTGAAATATTTACACATTTTTTTCATACATTGAGGCCACACTGATAGAAATGTAATACTTTAATTTCCAAATAAAAAAATATTTTTTTTTGTTTTAAAAATAATATTTATTTAAAAAAAAATTTTTTTACTTTTTTTTTTAAATATGTAAATATGTATTTTATCTGTTTTTGTGTTGTAGAGACTGTGTTTGAATGGAAGCTCTGGACAGGAAGTGATTGTCAAAAAGGACCTACAAAACGTGGAGGCGCTCTCATTTGACCCCATCAGCAGGTTGCTGTATTGGGTGGATGCTGGTGCTCAGAAAATCGAGGTAATCACAGCTTAAAACAACAACCGCAACATCAATTACAGGTGTTTGTTCCTGTAGTCGTCCTCACATTGTCTCTCTTCCAGGTGTCCAACTCTGATGGAGACCTGAGACGCACTCTGGTCAATTCTTCAGTGGTGGAGCAGCCTCGAGCCCTGACGCTCATGCCAGGAGAGAGGTAGGGTGTTCCCATAAATCACTTGTTTTCCTCAGCAGTTTGCATTCTCCCTTTACCCTGACCACTAAGTTGCATGCACGGTCTCTTTTAGCTTGATGTTTTGGACAGACTGGGGCGATCGCGCAGCAGGCATCTACCGCAGCTGGATGGACGGTTCCAACATCTCCTGCATTGTGTCTGAGGCAGTTCACTGGCCCAACGGCATAACAGCCGATGAATCATGGCTGTACTGGACGGAGGCGTATGGAGACCGCATTGAAAGAGCAGACTTTAATGGAGGCCGCCGTACTGTGATAATGGAGGGCCTGCCTCATCCTTATGCTATTGCTGTTTTTAAGGTAGGCCCAATGTTATCACTTCTGGGAATGTTGCAACTGATATTAAACTGTCTTTAATGATCATAAACACTTTGTTGATGTAGAATGACCTGTACTGGGATGACTGGTCTAGAATGGGAATCTTCAAAGCACCTAAATCAGGCTCACCAGACATTGAGATGCTAGTGGGCGGACTGACAGGAGTGATGGATCTCAAGATTTTCTACAAGGGAAAAAACAGAGGTCAGTCCCTCTGAAATATATGAGAAATACACCTATAAAGACCATGATAAGAATAGTGGTGGCAGGGATTTTTATTTATTTATTTATTTTTTTAAATGGCCTGTTGCCTTTGATTTATGTAACAGTCCCACAAAATCTCACTTGTCAGCTCCTATTGCTTATGAACGCAAAATAAATGAATATTTTAAATAATTAAAAAGACTAATTTTATACTCCTTTTATAATTTATTTTCATTATTATTATTATTATTATTGTTTCTAAATATATCCATTTACATTATCTTTGTAGTTCTTGCATTTTACTGGACAATAATTTGCAGCAAGGTTATTATCATTAACTAAAACTAAAACCATAAAATCAGTTTTAATACTTTAAATAAAATAAACACCAACTGAAATAAAATAAAATAAAGTAAAATAAAAACACTTAAACTTAATGTTTTTTTTTAATTGTTGCTAGCTGCCAAGGCATCATCATTTTTATTTAGTTTAATTTGAAGTACTAAAATAATTAAAACTGAATTGAAACTAAACTATATCCTAAAATTAAAAAAAAATCACTAAACCTTTAACTAAATGAAAACACTAAATTTCAAAACATCAAATCAAAATATTAGCAAACTATAATAGTACATCAGTGATACTAAAATAATACTGGTGTCATTAATATTTTTGGTCTGTTTACACAAGAATAGAGAAATACATCGTGTGTGTATTTTTACACTTTTTTTTTTTCAACTTTTAGGGCTATTTTTCAGGAGTATTGTTAGGAGTAAACTATCATAAAAGCTAACAGATGAGCAATAAAAGCCCAAAACTACCATATTGATTTCATGGGCTCAGCTTTGCACAGTGGCCCCACTGGTTTACGTGGGATACAGGAATATTTTTTTAACGATTTTTTTTCTCTCCTGTAGGTCAGAATGCTTGTGTGGATCAGCCATGCAGTCTTCTGTGTCTTCCCCAGCCTGGAAACAAGCATCACTGTGTTTGCCCCGATGGAGTTTCCACCACCATCCTACCCTCAGGAGAGCATCAGTGTCAGTGTCCCAGTGGATACCAGCTCCACAATAATACATGCATTAAGACAGGTCTGACAAATACAAAAGTGTCAGATATCAAAAGCTTTAAATGTTGATTAAACGTTTTTATTTAAATGTATGTTTGCCTTTATTGACTCTTTCTGCCCATCAGAACACACCTGCCTGCCAAACCAGCACCGCTGCGCTAATGGGAAATGCATCAGCAGCATCTGGAAGTGTGACAGTGACAACGACTGCGGCGACATGAGTGATGAACAGGATTGCCGTGAGTCACATCATCAGCCCTGTCTCATATAAAACGCCAGAAATGTGTATGTACTGTGTTTCATATCTTTCTCTCTCTGCAGCCACCACTTCCTGTGACCCTGCGGTCCAGTTCCGTTGCGTGGCCTCAGGCTCCTGCATTCCACTGGCCTTCAAGTGTGACCATGAGGATGACTGTGGTGATAACAGCGACGAGGAGCATTGTGGTATGTGTTCATGTTTAGAGCTATATGTCAAATATTCACTATATATCTGAGATGATTTTGTGGGTGATGTAAAATTAAGCAGTATCACAATATTTGGTTACACTTTATTTTAAGGTGTCCTTGTTACAGTGTAATTATACATTTAAGTACTGAGTAATATTAATTAACTACATGTACTTACTATATGTTAGGGTTAGGATTAGGGTTTGGCTTAGGGATACTTGCATGTAATTATGCATAATTAATTGTTATTATAATAGTAAGTACATGTGTAACAAGGACACCTTAAAATAAAGTGTTATTAATTAAAAATATTGGCTCTTTCCTAAAGAACAAATTACAGACCAGTTTAAAGATCATGCCCCAAATGCAAATAAAAAGTTTACTGATGATTTTAATAGTTTCTCTGAATTAGTGTTGTTATTGTTAACTAAAACTGTTAAAAAATATTAATTTCATTCATTTTTGGCCATGGCAACTAACTGAAATAAAATAAGTTGAAGTTGAAGTGCTAAACTGACTAAAACTGAGATAAAAAATAAACCAAAACTGAATTGAAATAAAAAAAAATAAAAAAAATGTCAGAAGCACATGACAAAATTGCTAAAACTAAAATTAAAATATAAAATATAATTAAAAATATTAATAAATACAACAATAGTATATGAATAATTCTAAAATAGCACTGCTCTGAATTAAACTTAAAAATTGCATTAGGTTTCACTTTGTTTGTATGAATCGGTTAAAACTGTTCCTTTCAGTGAAACAGTTCAAATCTGATCAAATTATTCATCTCTGAACACTTAAAAATATGCAGGGAAATCTGTGGTGTATGTTCATGGAAGAAATGAGAAGATAGTAATTTTTTTATTAATGTTATTTATATGTATAAATTATTATATTGCTGTATATAAATACCATTAGTTAATTCATATATTTTTTTCTGTTCATTTATTGAAAACAGTGTCAAACATGCCTTAATTATTTTTTAACAAGATTTACCTTTTGCATCTGTTTGGCAGCAGAGTGTTTGGTTGATATGGCACTTCCTTGGATTGAAAAAAATTGCCTTTTTTTAAGCTATATTCTGTTTGTTTTTAGTTGTTCAGTTAAACTAGCATAAATGCAGTGCTCATATTGTATCTGCTTTCTTTTAGAGTCTCACAAGTGTGGCCCAGGAGAGTTCACCTGTGCAAGAGGTGTGTGTATTCGGGACGCATGGCGCTGCGATGGGGACAACGACTGCAGGGACTGGTCAGACGAGACCAACTGTACTGGTGAGAGAAAAGAGACTCATTTACACACAGGTGCGAGAAATATGCAGTGAAATACATCACATCTACATCCTCAGTGTCTCTCTCTTCCTCGTTCTGTCACATAAAGCGGGTCACCACACGTGCGAGAGCAGTAGTTTCCAGTGTCACACGGGTCACTGCATTCCTCAGCGCTGGGTGTGTGACGGAGATGACGACTGCCAGGATGGCTCCGACGAGGACCCTACCCAGTGTGGTCAGTCTCAAACACTGCCTTACTCACCCTCATGTCATTGTAAACCATTGGATTTTCTTTTTTTCTGTGGAAGACCAAATGCATCAGCATCAGATCCTCTAATCACGTTGCTCACTCATGCATAATTTTGTGTAACTTTCGGTTTTGTCCTTCAGGTAGAGAAAAGTGCAACGGCTTCTTGTGCTCTAATGGCACCTGTCTGCCCGCCAGTGCTCACTGCAATGGTGTGGAGGACTGTCCAGGAGGCGCTGATGAGCAAAACTGCGGTATTGCTTTCTTACACAAGTATACATAAGTGGAATTGTTGTTTGTTGTGTTACAATTGAAACTCGAGAAATAAAAAGGATCTGTTCTTGCAGGTCCACTCTGTGCACACTATATGGAGTTTGTGTGCAGAAACCGAGCACAGTGTCTGTTCCAGTCTCTGGTGTGTGATGGTACCCGGCACTGCACCGATGGATCTGATGAGGACCCAACGTATGCTGGCTGCTGTGAGTCCAACAAATTTGCTTACTGAAATGTGAAAACATTAAAAAACATTCACAGGAGGAATTAGCCAAAAGACCGTTATGTGTTTCTGACTAGGACTCTCCATGTAAATTTAGTGCAATTAATTATATTTATAAATAAAAAAATGTATATGTAAATGTGCACATTTAAAGGGGTCATATGATGCTATTTTAAAGATCATTATTTTGTGTATTTGATGTAACAGAATATGTTGACATGCTTTAATGTTCAAAAAACACATTATTTTTCAAATACTGTACATTATTGTAGGTCCTCTATGCCCCGCCTCTCTCAAACACGTAGTTTTCAACAAAGCCTCCTCCTTTGACAAGCGCAGTCTGCTCTGATTGGCTAGCTGACACATCCATAAAATGCGTTGCACAAATTCGAACATCTGGGTTGTGCTGTTCTGTTGTAAATAAATCTTAACCAATGATTCCTAATTGCATCTACTTCCGGAAGGCCAAATAAAGTGCTTTTGCTTTCGCACTGAAACACAGTGTCTCCCTGACATGGCTGCATCAACACGACTGCTGTTCCTGAAACCACGCCTTCTTTCTTTGCGTGCATATTTGGGTTTGAGATTTTAGTCTTTGCAACTTTACAGATCTTCTTTATGCACCAAGAGCTTGTAACACTCCAAAGAGAAAGGAAAACTTGAAATCGCATCATATGACCCCTTTAATTATGCTCCTTTAATGTTAATTCCTTAATATGTTCCTTAACAAATTATTAAATCTAATGTAAATATATTATTCAGAAGTTTGGTTATATGATAATTGTAGAAAGAAGTCTATTATTCTCACCAGTGCTGCATTTATTTGATAAAAAAACAAAACATTAATATTGTGAAATATTATTAAAATTTAAAATAATTGTTTTCTATTTTAATGTATTGTAAAAGTGTATTGTGAACACCTGGGTGTGCGATGGCTACGCTGATTGTCCTGATGGCAGCGATGAAGTGGGCTGTCCCACAGGTGCTTCCTCTGCTCATTTCCTAGCCAATACTAGGGGTGTCAAACAGATGGCCTGTGAAAGAGTCTCTCTCTGTATATATATCTATCTCTATCTCTCTCTCTTTCTGTGTGTGTATATATGTGCGTATATGTATATATTTTTTTCTTTTGAACTTTTTATTCATCAAAGAATCCTGAAAGAATAAATAAAGCAGCCATTTATAAAATTTTGCATCACAAAATATTATATTAAAAAAATTTACATTTAAAAAATATGTCTATTTATTATATCGGTTTTACATATTCATAATATATTTTTTTTAGCTGCAAACAAACTTTTCTTGCATCAATAAATTAAGCTTAATCAAATTAAATAATTTTTTTAATTATGTGTGACATTCGACATTCATGTTCATGCATGCAATTTCATGCTTTTCAGCTAAGACAAGCTCAGTGGGTGACATGACAGTCCCAGAGCGCCACAGTTCATTTTCACAGTTTTCACACAATACTATTGAGTGTTGTCCCTTAATAATGACAACATAAAAAAATAGAATGAAAATATGAATAAATAAGTGCATGTCAATTGTTTCCATACTCCTTTTATGTATTTATTTTTAATTTTATTTTACACATTTTATTTTAAATATATTAAAAAAAATGTATAATATTTTTAAAAAGTGTACTTAATAAGTGAATTTCTTAATTGTAATATATATATATATAGTATATTAATGCTTATTCAGACTGAGAAGCTTTTAAGAATTAATAAATAGAAAAAAGAAAAAAACTTAGTGGGACATTTCGATCTAAAATAAGTTTAAACCTTGTGTCTTTTTATACCTGATCATTTTTGTTTATGCTGTTTCTGTCGTGCTTTTAGTCAAAGGCTCAGTGACTCCAGTGGCAACTCTTCCTCCATCGGGCCGCTGTACTAAAGATCAGTTCCTGTGCCTGAAACCTCCAGTCTGTATTGCTGATTGGAAGCGCTGTGATGGACATCCTCACTGCCAGGATGGGTCTGATGAGGACAACTGTCGTAAGTGCCTATAAGACAGTCATACACAGTAAAAAAAGAAGAAGAAAAAAAGATTTAACCACTCTTTATTACCATTTCCATCAAAAATGTCAAGTAAAACAAACATTATACTGTATATACTAATCTGTGTGGCTAATCTTCTTCACATCTTTACATACCTGTAAATGTAAGTTAACAAGCTTTTCTTTTTGAACTTCTTTTTTCCAGCCACTCATGGTCCGTTGCTCTGTGTGAATGGTACTCTCTGTGCGGACGGCGAGGCCTGTGTGCTGAACAGCGAGAGGTGTGATGGCTTCATAGACTGTTCTGACCGGAGTGACGAGGACAACTGCACTGGTGAGACACTGAGAGATGTTTGTGGTGTATCTGCTGTTGAAATCTGACTGCAGCTAGTACAGTATTATACCACAGTAAGCCGCCAGTCTAACTCTTTTTAGTGATTCACCCTGTTTTTCCTTTTCTCAGTGGATTTGCTGGTCTACAAGATTCAAAATCTACAATCAGGGAGTATATTGTGAGTGAGAAGCCTTCAGTACTTCATAGCATTTATCAACACATACTTATATCTAACCAGCTCATGCGTGTGTTATGCAGGTGGAGTACAGTGAAAAGGACAGTGCGGAGTGGTTTTCCCAGCGTAGCACCAGCACTAATGCAGAAGTGAAGAACCTGCAGCCCAGCTCGCTCTACAGATTCAGGGTGAGACACTCTAAAAACCTGCATGAAGTTGCTTCACATACTCTTCTAGGTCATAGCTTCATCTAACCTTTCTTCATCTGTTATTTGTCAGGTGGCTGCTGTCACAAGCAGAGGCGTGGGAAACTGGACAGAAATTAAATCCATTATTCCTCAAAAAGGTATCAAAATTATTTAAAAGCAAATGACATATTCACAGAGGAGCGCTAACTCCCCCTGCTGGACATTGACGCTCAAGTACTTTATCTCACAGGATGTTTGAAACCTATGGAGTGTCGTTTAAACTCCATTTTCAGCATAAATATAAACAGATCAATTTGTATCTGTAATATCACTGGAAAAGTAATGTGGTATCATGAATAATTATGAGGCAGGTCCTTCTCATAGTATAAGGCCATTCAGTCTTATAAATAGACATTAAAAATAATGGATAGTAACATTAAATAAAAAAAAAGGATTTTAACATGTGATATGAAACGTGTATACACTACCATTCAGTTTGGGGTTGGTAAGATTTTTTTTTCTTGCTGCTGAAGAAACATTTCTTATTATCAGTGTTGAAAACAGTTTGATTAAAGGTGCTGTATGTAAGTTTTTGACTCTACTAAAGCATAAAAATACCGTAATATGTTTGCAGATATTTAAGGAACATGTTAAGTTAACACAAAACAATGCTACTGTCAGGTATTCTCCTTTGAAAATGTGCGTTCCGGGCCGGACTGTCGGTCTCTGTTTTGGTTTGTGAAACCCGCCCACTGCCAGTTTACCCAATTGTATATCGGCACCCAGGGTTGCCAGTTGGTGGGAAACGGAGCATATCTCATTTCATTCATTGTCAAGTGCGCTGGTTCCTGTTGTGTCGTCAATCTGGCAACTGAGGAGGAGGGGCCGGGTGAAAAAAACCCTCTCCAATATTTTGAATTTGGACTGCAATACCTAGTTCAACCACTCGGTGTCAATCCTACATGCAGCACCTTTAATGTTTTTATGGCAACCATGATACATTTTTCAGAATTGTTTGATGAATGGAAAGTTCAAACACAGAGCAGTTATTTGCAATAGAAACCAAATACTTTTATTGCTGAATATATTAAGATCTTTAAAATCTTTTCAGTGATCTTTTCAAGAGTAGTCTGGTAACTATTTATTATGATACAGATGTTTTGCTGGAAGTTTTACCCTCAAATGTTTTATAGATTACATAAACATCTAGTTATGTTTTAGTGTTTGGACAAAAAACTGCTCTAGTGTCTCATGACTCTTTAATAATGTGTCTTCCAGCTCTCTCTCCTCCTGCTGTTGAGATCACCAGCATCACAGAAGACTCCATGATTTTGTCCATCACCAGTGATTATAAAGTCCAGGTCAGTCTGTTTGCTTTTTTCCTGTGTGTGGGTTACGTTTATGACCTCCTCCTAATTTAAATATAATACTGATCTCTCTCTGTCAGGTGAAGCACTATGTTGTTATCATTTCGTGGGTATTTGATGAACATGTGAAGGAGAGCTGGAATTACACGGTTTCTGGGACATTGAAAGGTAAAACACTTCACAGTCATTAAACATACCGTCAGCATTTCTGGAGCGATATAAAATGTGTGTGATGTTTTCTGTTCAGCCTCTAACCTGACAGCAGGGACGGTGTATGAGGTGGCAGTGTGGGCTCACACAGATGATGGAGACAGTCCTACTGCTCTGTTCCGCAAGCAGACCAAAGGCATCAGACCTGCCCAGCCATCACTGAAGGCCCGGGCGCTCAACCAGACCGCTGTAGAGTGCAACTGGACCGGCCCTCAAGCTGAGGTGAGACTAAAGGCCCATTCAAACAAAGGACTATAATAATAAAGATATAGTTTTAAATGTAAAAGAATAGCAGAGTCCATTTCACAACTATAACAACAATGACAGAGGAACGATATCGTTGGAATCACTTTGCTTGAGCATTTAAATCTGCAGACGACATTACTGCAGCCTGCACTTATAATACAGAACGTTATTGTGTGTTGGTGTGATTGCTAATAAAGTTATCATTATAGTTCTCTTTATTGTTCTTGTTATTGTTCCTGAGCAGGCTTTAACTCATAAATGCCTAAAGTGCGGTCATATTTATCATTGCTTGGCAAAATTTCACAGGCGAGTAATTTCAGTGGCAATTCACGTGTGACGGCAATAAAAAATTTCCCCATGCAAATTTCGCTTGTGTTTAAGTTGGTCACAAGAAAAATGAGGCTATTAAGTTGCTCACTTTTAGAAATAAACTAGCCTTTTACAAAAATTTGCTTTGAATTCATACAAACTTTGCGCTTGTTTATTTACAAGTGTGAAAGTAAAAGACAATGAATACTATAAGATGAGATCAAGTAAAGCATTAATTTTTATAAGCTAAAGGTGCAGTCACATTTACCGTTGTTCGACAAAATTTTGCTGGTGAGATCCAGTAATTTCAATAGGAATCCATGTGTTTGGGAATTTCTTGGGAGGGCGAAATATTACCCCATGCAGATTTCGCATCAGGTTTAATCACGCAAATTTGCAGTGTTGACCAAGCGAAAGCATCTTGATTTGAAGGTGACGACTGTGTTTGTTGTGCTTCATAGTTGCTCACTTTTAGAAATAAACTAGCCTTTTACAAAAATTTGCTTTGAATTCATACAAACTTTGCGCTTGTGTATTTACAAGTGTGAAAGTAAAAGACAATGAATACTATAAGATGAGATCAAGTAAAGCATTAATTTTTATAAGCTAAAGGTGCAGTCACATTTACCGTTGTTCGACAAAATTTTGCTGGTGAGATCCAGTAATTTCAATAGGAATCCATGCGTTTGGGAATTTCTTGGGAGGGCGAAATATTACCCCATGCAGATTTCGCATCAGGTTTAATCACGCAAATTTGCAGTGTTGACCAAGCGAAAGCATCTTGATTTGAAGGTGACGACTGTGTTTGTTGTGCTTCAAACATCATTACACAATTGAAACTATACAATGGACCCACAACATTTTGCTGAAATTTACCTGACCTTTAAGCTGAAAAGTGTCTGGCAAGACGTCATTGTAACATGGCTATGTTGTCGTAGATGTATGGAGTGTTCTACGCCACATCCTTCCTGGATCTGTACCGCAGACCTCACAGGGTGAACACCACCTCCACCAGTCTGATTGTGATCGTTGACAGCGACAAGCAGTACCTCTTCCTGGTTAGTGTCCACCCTCCTACTCTTCACTTTAGAGATATGCTTTGGCACCATGATGAAGCGATTATGTTTGTTTTTCAGGTGAGGGTGATTACTCCATACCTCGGGCCTCCATCGGACTATGCCGCAGTGAAGATGATCCCCAACGAGCGACTTCCACCTCGAAATCTGCACAAGGTGCAAGTGGATAAGACACAGGCCACTCTGAAGTGGCAGCCGCCATACGATTCTCCCAGCAGTCCTTTGGTATGACCACATAGTAAAGTCCATTTTTTATTATAAAACCATTACTTATATGTCAGATGGGGTGTTTCAAGCATCTCTGTGTGTGTGTATATATCAGACATATGCAGTGCACGTGAGAGATGCAGTTCGTAAAACGGAGCAGGACTATAAGGTGACAACTCAAAACAACACAGTGGAGTACACGCTGAAGGGCCTGGAGCCTGGAGGACGCTACAGCATCACCATCAGGCTGCTCAACATGAGCAAAGAGGCCAGCTACACACTCAACACAGGTATAGCCGTCTCTTTTCTTGCCTGAATCGTATTATAAATAAGGTATAATACTAAATATGTTAATATTAGTTTTACTGTAATTAAACCTTATTACATAATTTAGGGCAAGAGGGCCATCATACATTACGCGGTGAAGTACCTGATATAGCGCAGCCGTGGCGCTTTATTACTTTTATAACAATTTCTACATTCTAAAAATATTAAGGCCACAGATTTTCATTAAAACTGTATTTTTAAGCAAATCTTTCCATCCTCTTCCATCTTTGCCTGTTCTACACTACGGCTCAGAAGTTTATTTAATGTTTTATAAGGAAGTCTCTTCTGCTCACCAAGGCTGCATAATTTGATCAAAAATACAGTAAAAACAGAAATATTGTGAAATATTATTACAATTTAAAATAGCTGATTCCTGAATTTTCAGCAGTTATTATTACTCGTCTTCAGTGTCACATGATCCTTTAGAAATCGTTCTAATATGCTGATTTGCTGCTCATGAAACATTTCTTCTTATTATCAATGTTGAAAACAGTTGTGCTGCTTAATATTTTTGTAGAAACCGTTTGATTCTTTGATGAATAGAAAATGAAAAAGAACAGTTTTTCTTTGTGATAGAATTTTTTTTATGACATTATACATGTCTTTACTTTCACGTTTGATCAATTTAATGCAGCCATGCTGAATAAAAACATTACTTTCTTGAAAAAAAATGGCACTGACCCCTAACTTTTGAACGGTAGTGTATTTCTACTATATGTGAAATGTCTTGCTGCATTGTATATTTATGCATGTATATTTTTTCCACAAAGTTTCTCTGCCTGCGCCTGAGGCCCTCAAGATCTTAGAAGAACAGGATCATGTGTTTCTCTTCTGGAAGAGTGTGGCTGTGAAGGACCGGACCTTCAATGAGAGCAGGGTTAGAAACCAGAACCTTTCTACACATCTTAATGAAATCAACATGTGACTCTATTTACTTATCTTATAGTCTTATCTTGCATGATGTATTGGTGCCCATTGTCACAAAGAAAATGTTTTATTATCTTTTAACAAGAGGTTTATCCATGTCTGAAACAACTTTCCTTTTTGGCTTTTTTCCCCCATTTCCTTTTGTTTGACTAATGATGGTCTGACTCTTCAGGGCTATGAGGTGTATATGCATGACAGTGTGACCAACTCAACAAAATGTCTGGGTAACACAACAGAGACGTTCTTCAGGATCAGCAACCTGATGGTGGGCCATAACTACACGTTCTCAGTGCGGGCGCGCTGCCTGCTCAACAACCAGCTGTGTGGAGAGGCGGCAGTGCTGTTATATGATGAACTGGGCAAAGCAGCAGGTATGAGCTTTTACACGTTAAACATTTTGCTTCTGTATTTCTATGGCCATTTGTGGAGCCAGACATTGATTTTGACACATTTGACATCTTTCAGGGCCGAATGATGCCTCATCTCAGTCAGGTAAATCAGAAGACATGGCGGCGGTGGTGGTTCCAGTGTTGTTCCTGCTGTTGGTGGGTGTGTGTGGAGGCCTGGTGGTGCTTTACCTCAGACACCGTCGGCTACAGCACAGCTTCACCGCTTTCGCTAACAGCCACTACAACTCTCGTCTGGGCTCTGCCATTTTCTCCTCAGGAGATGAGCTGGGTAAGACCAGTCTCCTGCCTTTCATGAAATCTGTTTTTTTTTTACTTCAGTACACTTCAGAGAAGTGTCATTTAGTTCACTTCACTTCAGTTTAGCTCAGTAGACTTCAGTTAATCTCAGTTCACTTCATTCTAGTTCAGTTTACTTGTTTTTAGCTCAGATGACATCTGGGTTTTAGTTTAGTTCAGTTTTGCTTAGTTCACTTCACTGTGTTTTAGTTCATTTCACTCTACTTCACTTTAGCTCAGATGGCTTCAGTTAAGTTCATTTCAGTTTAGTTTAGTTTCATTTTAGTTCAGTTCACTTGGATTTAGACCAGTTGGCTTCAGTTCACTTTATTTTATTTTAGTTCACTTCAGTTGACTTCAGTTAAGTTCACTTCAGCTTAGTTAATTTCAATTCAGTTAATTTCAGATAATCTCACTTGCGTTTAGTTCAATTACTTTGTTCAGTTTGTTTATTTAGCTCAGTTGACAGTTTAGTTCAGTTCAGTTGACTTCAGTTTAGATCACTTCAGTTTACTTCTGTTAAGTTCACCTATAATTAATTACTTTATTTCAATTTAGTTCACATCAGCTCTTTGTTTAATTAGTGTTTAGGCCTATTTAATTTCAATTCATCTTAGTTCAGGTCACTTTCAGTTAAGTTCAGGTCACATTAATTATATTTAGTTAATTTCAGCTCACTTTATTTAGTACAATATTTATTAAGAGTCTTCCACACTGTGGAAATTGGCTGGTAAGATTTTTTCTTTGTTCCCTCTCTTCAGGTGACGATGATGAAGACGCTCCAATGATCAGTGGCTTTTCAGATGATGTTCCCATGGTGATTGCATAGCTGGACAACTCTTTCTCTCCTCCTCCTTCACTTCCCACTCCACTTCCTCATCATGTTTTCTTACGTGCCCTCTTTACCCCCCCGTCACTTAGAAAACGCTGGATTTGGGTTTCTGGACCCTGAAGAAGAAAAGAAAGCATGGAGCGAAACAGATATTTTTGAATATAAGATGCACTTTTTTCGGATGCGCAATAACTTATTTTTTATAAATGATATATGTGGGTATTGGACTTTGTAGGCATTAACTGAAGCAAACTGTGAAGGAGTTTGTCAGCTGATCAGCAGACTCACTGAACAGGGAAAAGACCCTTATTTTACAACAAACTCTCACACGAGCATTACATTTGCTTAAAGCCAAAACAAGCACCTAGATATGGGTACATCAGTGCAAAAACACGAAAATACACAACAAAAAAATCTAAAAAGCAAACCTCATATGTGTACAGATGAAAAAATTGAACCAATGTATGCTGATGAAAAGGGAAGGTGGTAGGCTGTTGACAGTAAATTGCACAGGATCAGATTTTTGTTGCATATGCTCGATTTGTGTCACTTTATGCCAATAGGCCTGCATTTGTCCATGGTACCTTGTTTACACTTTCTATCCATTTGTTAACTTTCTTGCTCAGCAATAGGTTGAATTTCCTCTGCTTTTTGAAAATGTGAAAACTGTAACCATAGTTTGGTTGTTTTATCAGCTATTTTCAGAAAAGAATGACCGAAATGAAGACAGTGACAGTTATTTGAGTGTTGTCCACATTGTCCACACTTAGTCCATATATTCACTGTCTTCTTTTTTCCTTTGATTTATCCTACGCATTTTATCTAGCAAATAATATTATTGCATATCCTGTGTGCTGCCATGGTTTTAGTCCTTTAATGTTCTCAGGGAACTGGGTTAATGGAGATGTACCAGCGATATCAGTCACACTGCCACAGGCAGCGCAGTGTGTTTAATTCGGAGACTATTGTGCGGTACAGTAGTTCCATATTGCAGTGAAGCCTGTACAGCTCTTGTCTGAGTGGACCAGAAGGCTTCATCTTAGTCTCTTGTGCCAAGCTTAAGAAAAGCAGAGGGTAGAGCAGACCTCTTGCCTTCCCGAACCATTGTGAAGAGGTACATGTGTTTAATCCATGTTTCATTTTAACTGGATTGCGGGTGTTACTTAACAGATTTGTTTATGAATGTATTTCTTTCTTCTTTATTTTTTGTATCTTGTATTGAGGTGACCAGAAAAAAGGAAAATGGATATGGTCTACCCCACTTCTTCTTTAATGTTCAAGGATTTTAAATGAGGTTTATGGCCAGTTTACATTCAAATGCTTGTGGTCGTTATTAATGATACCCTCTCCCATTGTTAATTGGAATTAAACAAAACTGTTCACTTGATAGATGTGGCTGTTTTTAGTGAAATTGTTCCTTTCAGTACCACATTGCCTTATTACAACACTGAGTAAAGTATGTAGCAGTATGTCTATGTGATCACACATGCACACGCTCACAGAAAATTGACTTGAGTAAAACGAAGAGTAAACAACTGTAAAAGGACTGGAATAGTGTGATAGGAAATGTGTGTATCGACATATTGTGAATTACCACTGTATATTGTTATAAAAGTTCCAGTGCAGCACTTGTGTGAATCCTGAGCCACCGTTTTTATTTGGTATTCTTTACTCGCAACCATTTGTGGCGATATTTGTCATGCCCAGTTTGAAACCCATTTGTTTTTAGTCAATGAGATGTAAACATTTTGACATAGCAGTGACGCTGGACACCGCCATGTTTAAATCTTTGATCTTGCCTGCCTACTAAGGGTTTTAAAGATAAGAATCTTGTAAGTGGTACAGTCTGAGATGTTTTATGAACCACTTATGCTGAAATAAATGTGGAGAACTTGAATCTGATTCCTCTTGCTTTGTGTGGCGGTGGGAATGAATTCCAATAGTCGATACCTCACACAGCAGTCAAGAAATTCATTTAGTTCATTTTACCACTTACAGCCATAGCATTTTCAGCACTTGGACATGTCAAAGGGATAGTTCACTACAAAATGAAAAAAATAAAAAAAATTCTCACCTTCATGTAATTTCAGAATTGTATGAAATTGTTATCTGGAAGGAAAAAAAGTGATTGGTTGATTGATCGATTGATCATTTATTAATTTTATTTTATTTGAAGAGAAACTTATGGAAGCCCGTTTCCGCCACTGAATAAAAAATAAAAGAGGTAATTTGATACAAACTCGCAATTCTTACTTTTTTTTCTCAGAAGTGCGTGATATAAACTTGCAATTGCGAGTTAAAAAGTCATAATTGAGAGATATAAACTCGCAATTCTGATAAATAAAAGTCAGAACTGCGAGATATAAACTCACAATTCACAATAAAGAAGTCACAATTCAGATTTTTTTTCTCGCAATTGCGAGTTTATATTTTTCTCAGAATTGTGAGATAAAAACTCGCAATTCTGATAAATAAAAGTCAGAATTGCGTGATATAAACTCGCAATTGCGAGACAAAGTCGCAGTTCTGAGAAATGAAGTCAGAACTGCGAGATATAAACTCACAATTCACAATAAAGAAGTCACAATTCAGATTTTTTTTCTCGCAATTGCGAGTTTATATATTTCTCAGAATTGTGAGATAAAAACTCGCAATTGCGAGTTTTTATCTCACAATTCTGTGAAAAAAAGTCACAATTACCTTTTTAAAAAATTTTTATTCAGTGGCGGAAACGAGCTTCCATAGAAACTTGGTCTGTAAAGCTAAACAAAAGCTTAAAAGTATATTATGGATCTAACGATAGTTTTGTGTGAGATACAAAGATAAATGTAAAAAAAAATTTTCAAGGAAGATCGTGACATCGGTCTAAAGTTGCTGCTCATGATGCGATTTCCAATTCGTGATCGAATTTTTCAAATAGGATCTTTTCCACAGAAACGTATGTATATATATTATATATTATATTCTTTGTATTCGCATATCTCCGCGCAGCCAATAGCGCGAGTTTGGGGCGTGGCTACTGTAGCAGGCTGAGCCAGAGGGTGTTTAGCCAGTGTGGAGAAAGAAAGAAGTGCAAGCAAAATTCAAAGATTTAACAAAATGACAGACAACGGGGTAAAACAAGGGTAAACTGATGGTGTTTTTACAAGATGGAGGAATCTAATGGAATGTTTGCGGAGTTTCTTCTCGACAGGTAAGCTAAACTTAAAGTTAAAAGTACTACTATATGATGGACATTTTATTTAACTTAACCTACTTTTACCTGTTGAGCCTTAACTTTTATAGACTTGTAACAACTGTGTTTGTCACGTTTGAGTTAGGTTTGACGGGTGACGCGCGAAAGAAGCGTTTGCAAAGGTTGTTTAAAAACATGCTTTATTTTTGTAGTTCCACTAGATGACACTAGTAGCACAGAAACTTCCTAGCTCCATGACTTCAGAAGACTTGGAATATAACATACGATTCGCATACCCCACTTTTATGCAAAAGAATTTATGAAAAAAAAACAGTAAATCAGGAAAAAAACAACCCCCCCCCCCCCCCCCCCCCTCAAAATTGGACTTTAACTCGCAATTGTGAGTTTTTATCTCGCAATTCTGATTTTATAACTCGCAATCGCAAGTTTATATCTCACAATTCTGTGAAAAAAAGTCACAATTACCTTTTTAAAAAATTTTTATTCAGTGGCGGAAACGAGCTTCCATAGAAACTTGGTCTGTAAAGCTAAACAAAAGCTTAAAAGTATATTATGGATCTAACGATAGTTTTGTGTGAGATACAAAGATAAATGTAAAAAAAAATTTTCAAGGAAGATCGTGACATCGGTCTAAAGTTGCTGCTCATGATGCGATTTCCAATTCGTGATCGAATTTTTCAAATAGGATCTTTTCCACAGAAACGTATGTATATATATTATATATTATATTCTTTGTATTCGCATATCTCCGCGCAGCCAATAGCGCGAGTTTGGGGCGTGGCTACTGTAGCAGGCTGAGCCAGAGGGTGTTTAGCCAGTGTGGAGAAAGAAAGAAGTGCAAGCAAAATTCAAAGATTTAACAAAATGACAGACAACGGGGTAAAACAAGGGTAAACTGATGGTGTTTTTACAAGATGGAGGAATCTAATGGAATGTTTGTGGAGTTTCTTCTCGACAGGTAAGCTAAACTTAAAGTTAAAAGTACTACTATATGATGGACATTTTATTTAACTTAACCTACTTTTACCTGTTGAGCCTTAACTTTTATAGACTTGTAACAGCTGTGTTTGTCACGTTTGAGTTAGGTTTGACGGGTGACGCGCGAAAGAAGCGTTTGCAAAGGTTGTTTAAAAACATGCTTTATTTTTGTAGTTCCACTAGATGACACTAGTAGCACAGAAACTTCCTAGCTCCATGACTTCAGAAGACTTGGAATATAACATACGATTCGCATACCCCACTTTTATGCAGAATGTGTGGTCTTTTTAAGCTTGAAAGCTCCAGTCCCCATTCATTGTGAGTGCGGCCAGTGCAACGGCAGGAAGTGAGTAAATCATTGTTGTGTGTGTGAACTATTCTTTAACGTCTGAATAAGGGATTTCCCAGGTATGAATCTAAGAAAAAATGATCACGAAACTAATGTACCAATTTATTTAAAGCAAATCACGGTGCATATTGTGGGGTCAGTCGCCTGCAATGACCTGGACGGCTTTGCTCTTGAAAGTGCACAATTGATCACTCTCGTGGGGTTTGATCTTACAACCTTTTGGTTTACAGCCCACGTCTTTTAAATAATCACTATGCCACACCACCCGAGAACAAATGTTTTCTTCTCCTCCACCTCAACTTATTTTTACTTGATTACAGATTATATTAAATAAAAGACATTTCTGAAAATAAGGCAACCTAAAGCAAAGTTTGCTTCATTTCCCTGCCTCAGCCTCTGGCCCTTCTGCCCTGTGTTTATTGATGTGTGGGCTTTATTTGAACCACAATTAGACATGTTTATAGAGGTGGAAGCCTTTATGTGCAGCATGTTTCTGTCTCTGTTTATTGGAACTTGTCCTTTATTTATCCTCACGTCACAGCTCGGGGTCTCACAGCTGAACGCATGTATTCAGAAACATGAACCTGTGTTTGTCTGGAGAATTCAGCTTTGATTGTAAATTAAACACACATACCTCAAAATAGTGAAGAACAGGAGGCCATGTTATTAAACAGTAATGAGAATCATCCTCGGTGTGGCTTTTTTTAAATAAAATAGTTTTCATTTAAATAAAAAAATGCATGGTAACATAGCCTACTACAATGGTTTTATTTGTAAAGTACTATATCATGATATTTAATATATGCAGCAATCCTGAATTTTTCGAGTCTTAACTGGTAGGAAAATATTCATTTTCTTTATTTTTATTTTAAAATATGTCCCTCAAAAGGCATTCACTCAGCTAATTTGCATGTGAGTTATGCATGTGACCCTGACAATGTAATAATAAATAATTAAACAAATGACATGAAAATAAAATGTTATAATGGGACTAAAACATAATGCAGCTTCCCATAACCACCAGCAGATGTCTCTCATGTCTCAGTATACTGCTCCTTAACTCACAAATAGTGAACAGTTCCCAAAGCAGTATGAAATGAACTTTGTTCATTGTGCTTTTCTGTTAATACAGTTAATTAAATGCAGAATTCTTTATAGCTAGGTAATTAAAAATAGAGAAAAAGATATAAAAAAAAAACTGACACCTATGTCATCATAAAAAAATAATTTTCTGTGAATAAATATCATTTGAATAATATTATTAATCTGTAAGAAACATAACAACATTAAATGTAAAGTTTTTGAACTTTGGCATAATTTTTTCTTGACTTTTTAAAAAATTATTATTAGCTGACAAACTGTTTGCCTTCTGTTTCTAAGCTTTTATCAGAAAATTCAAATTCTTGAAATCGTCCTGATTCTTCTTGAGCAGGTTTCCGTCGATGCTGCACGCATGTCACTGTAGTGTAGTGGCCCCTTTGATGATTGTAACGGGAAGGTAATTGATGATAGCTGTCCAGTGTGTACAGATAAGGACCGTTAAGTTTTACAATGCCAAAACTGCACCGGGACAAACAATTACAAGAGGTCAGTGTGGTAATGAATCTGTGTCTTTAGAGAAAAGGTCAGACAGAAAGGTCTAGGTCCAAAAATAGATCATTTCAAAAAGTTGTTTTCTGTTGATTTTAATGTGTATTGTTTTTACTGTCAGAAATTATATTATAATTGGATTTAGAAATAACTGTATGATTATAAAAAACAACCGGGACGGATGGATCATCAAGATGACTAAAAACTCTACATTTGAAAAGAAACACCAGCAGTGGGTGCACTAGCACATAAAACTCTGTTTTCCTTTCACAAATGAACAGTGTAGCTGACTGGAGCATCTGAGATGCTTTTTTTCTTTCCTTGCTCCACTTTTTTTGGAAAGAGGAAATAGCAAAACAGCTTTCTTAGAGTGCAGATCGTGTTTCAAGACTTCAGCTTTCATCATTTCATTTGGCAAAACTTTTTAATATGGTTTTGATCTGAGAATAAACAATGTCACATTAAAATTAATAACAAAAAAGTATCTATTTATGAAAACAGCTGTTAGATATTTTTAGGGTTTGAGAGATTTAACCTTTGCACCAAATCATGAATATTGCATAAAAGAGTAGTTTAATGGAGTTTTACATTTTTTATAAAAAAAAATTTATACTTTTGTAATGCATGTTTTTGTCAGACGTTATTACTAAAAGTTCATCAAACATTTATGCATACAATTTTGATTATTTTTAATGGTATTTCAGTGTACAAAGAATTTACTTATTTATAATGTAATTATTACAATTATAAAAATATATAATAATTACAAAATATTTGTATTTAT